AGTCAAAATTTTGCAAAAGAAGATTGAAATTAAAATGTATTATCATTTGGTTAACTGAATCTTGCAGAGATCTTCTACTGAGAATTGAACATCGAAGGGTCGTCTAGTTGAAAAAATACATGGATAAAAAAGTTCTGAACTCTACTCTTTGGATTTTTTTCGGAAGTCGTCTTGTTTTGAAATGAATTTATTCCATACATTCGCATCATACTGTATATAAGAAATAGGAAACATAATTCAAGTATATTCTAACTCGAACTGCGAAAAAGAACATAATGATAGTAATGAAATACAGAATTTACTTTTTTAGAAATTACATACCTACTAACAGTTATTCACAAAGTGGAATGTACAAATTTGATAGACAGTATTTTTTTTATTATCCTGGAGGTGGTTGCTCTCAAAAACGTGTATACAATTGCTATCCAATTCAAACAAAATAAATTTAATTTATGTGACATCGAACGATTAAAAAAAAGATATCGTCGCCGAGGGCTCGAACCATCGACCTTCGTATCCTCGCGTAACAACCCTAACAGTTGCGCTACATCAGCTGATAATTATATTAGTGAGTCACAATAATTTGAGTGATTGAAGAAGATTACTTTAAAAAGGAATTTGAATTCTAGTATTGTTGTGTCAGACCGTCAACAAATATGCAAACTTTTCAAATTACACATGAAACGTCCAGCCAGAATAAAATTGTCTCGCCTTTCGTACAAAATATCTCACTAACGCGAATTATAAGGAAATAAAATAAAGTAGGAACTTAGGTTATTGTCTCAGATTTGAATCCAAAGCAATCTTGACCAGACACAATGTCAAAATTTTATCGCTGATAAACGAGGTTAGTTGGTCACGTGTGGGTCAATTCGGCTTCTGTATTGGTAGAGCAAGTCCGATAAAATTTAATAAACAAAAAGTATCGCTAGAATACAGAAGAAACCATGAAAATGGTCGATTCTGATTGGTTCTCAAGATCAAGAGTGGAATAGTCATTGAAATAATCCTCGAAATAATCTGAATTTTTGGACATCAATTCTGAGCATTTGCTCTCAAGTGCACAGGTTTCAGCTGCCAAGATAATTAATGAAAAACCATCTGCATATGCAGTGTAATGTGTATCGCCAATAAATTGGTCTAGTTGATTAACATAGAGTATAAAAAGCACAGGACCCAAAATTGAACCTTGGGGTACTCCCATCTCTAATGTCAAATTCCCTGACCTGAATTGTTGAACTCGATTTTCCGAGAAAGCTTCCACTGAAACAAATTGTTTGCGGTGTTCTGAAAAAGATATCCACGATAAGGATCCACTCCTCATGCCATACATTTCCAAATTAGTCAACAGCTCTTCATGATTGACACAGTCAAAATTATAACTATGTCTTTATTGACTAGAGGTTCATAAAATGACGAAAACTACCATGGTAGTAAAAACACACTTTTCACCTCCAAAAGGAGTGAATTTTATTGCTAGTAGTGGAAAAAATGAATTGTTAGTTATTGATGCATCCGCATCAATTATCTACTGCATTCGCCTCAGATACGTAGCATTTATGATAATCAATATCATTAGAACAAGAAAATTAGGATCAACATGGATCAACCTATCAATAATCAATGTGCTGGAACTAATGATCGATGAATCAATTAATGAAACATCAGTTGATTATATTATTTGTAAAAAGTCATTTCGATTTCAGTGAAAAAGTTCAAAGTCTCACGGTTATCAATTTGAGATGTTTGATTAAACTTTTTCTAGACATATTGCTGTCTACTTGAACCTCGATTTGATCGAACATTTTGCAAAAAAAAATAAAACTTCTAATAATTAATCAGTTATGTGAGTCGCCCTGAACCTATACATAAGTCGTGATATGAAAAAAAAAATGGGGTTTAATTTCACAAAATTTCAAGATCTTATAGTGGAAATCCAACTGAATCCCAATGCAAGAAAAATTTCAAATTTTGGACTTGGTTTGGATTTCAAGAAATGCAAAGTTAGAAACACTCCATTTGAAGAGGTAAATATAATGCGGAATGAACGCAATAAAACATGAATAAAACTTCAAGAGTCGGAATTTAACGAACATTTTAATATTCCATTATTCCAGATTTTTTGGGATTGTCTCTCCTCGCTTTGAAGAAAAGAAATAAAGTATGTAGAAAAAATATCAAATTTTTACTCATCTTTTGACGTTTCGGGACCGAAAATCTGCTCCCGTTTTCAACATAAAAAATGGTTATTTGAATAGCAAATTCGTATCTGTCTTGAAACTTTTCAGTTCTCAGTGACAATTGGTGACGTTGGCAATCAAATTAATTTTTTTTTATGTTCTGGTTCCCACGAAAAGAGATATCCTGTAATATTCAGAGAACATCGTGAGAACCAAGGAAAATAAGGTAGGAATTGGTGTTCTTCTTGATTTCAGTAGTGAATACCATGTTCTATCGATATCAACTGAACAGGAAGCAATGCAATTGTCTCCGTTCAGAAGAATGCAAGCAGATTCCTTGATTGTTCTCTTCTGGTTGTTATAAAACCGAAAAATAAAGAACAATCGTCAGAAAATTGTATTTACAGAATATCTTGTGTTTGTGGAAAGTTTTATACAGGTGAAACCAAGAGACCTCTTCCAGTATAAGGACGAAGGAACATAAATATAATATAAAGAAAAGACACATCGACAAATCGAAACTAGCTGAACATATCCCTACTGAAGGTGGACAATATATGGCAGAGTGGAATAATATTAAAATCATTGGAAAAGAAGATAACAACCAGATGAGAAAAATCAAGGAATCTCCTTGCATTCTTCTGAACGGAGACAATAGCATTGCTTCCGGTTCAGTTGATATAGATAGAACATGGTATTCACTATTGAAATCTGAAAATGAAAATGGTAAATTCAAGATTAATTAATGAAAACATCCTGTAGCTCATTTGATTACCAACGTCATCAATTGTCACTGAGAACTGAGAAGTGTCAAGACAAATACGAATTTGTCATGCAAAAAATGTATTTTTTATGTTGAAAACGGCAGCAGATTCGTTCCCGAAACGTCCAGAGATAAGTGAAAATTCGATATTTTTTTTACATAGGTACCTTTATTTCTCTTCTCCAGAACTTTTTCAATTCAAGTTGTCACTGACAAACCAGTGAATTTTTCTTTTAGCCTCTCTGATAGGAAAATTCTTTAAATGCAGTGACATTTTGGGGCAAATCATCTGATTTGTCCTCACTACACGTATATTGAAATAGTATTCATATTTTTATTTTTTAGAGACGAGGAGAGAAAATCCCAAAAAATATGGAATAATGAATGTCCCACCTCCTCGATTAACAAACAGACAGTATTTAATATTTCAATTAGCATAAATAAAATGTATAGATAATACTGGGGTTTTATTTTATCTTCTCGCTACGTAGGTTTTGTTGGATAACAAAATAAATAGGTATAAAAAGTATTCATATAAACTGGGCGTCAATTGAAACGTTGATAGTGAAATTTCAGGTTACTCAAAAACAATCTAGTATATTTATTGTCATGACTGAATTATTGAAAATGGTACTTAAATGAGTTTGGGTATATCCCGAGGGGTAAATCTCCAGGAAAAATGTGTACACCAGACTTCCAATTAACATAGACTTCCAAAGACTTCCAAAGACATCCAAAGACTTCCAAATACTTTCAAAGACTTCCAAAGACTCCCAAAGACTTCCAAAGACTCCCGAAGACTTCCAAAGACATCCAAAGACTTCCAGAGACATCCAAAGACTACCAAAGACTGCCAAAGACATCCAAAGACTCCCAAAGATTTGCAAAGACATCCAAAGAATTCCAAAGAATTCCAAAGAATTCCAAAGAATTCCAAAGAATTCCAAAGAATTCCAAAGACTTCCAAAGACTTCCAAAGACTTCCAACGGAGTGTACACCAGACTTCCAAGGAGATTTACCCCTCGGTATATCCTAATCGTCGTAACCTGAAATAATAGTTATCTGTACTGAATTATAGTTTATATCACTATTGTGATCTTACCTTATGTTATGATATTTTCCATTTCGACCCGATTTAAACGAGGCATCTTTAAATGTTGGCAATTGATTTAACCTCTATGCATACCTACATTGTGTCAACAATACGTTGTTATAGAAACAAGGTATCGTTGTTTGTTTTTGTTGATGAGATGTGTTGGTTTACTGCTCACTAAGGTAGAAAACTTTTATCATAGACTACGAAGTAATAAATTATTGATTGTTTTTGAGTAACCTGGTATACATATCTGCTCCAACGCTTTTCTGAAATGCATAAAAGCATCCATTCATGGAACTCCTCTAAAATATAGTCCATTTAAACAAAATGCGAAGAATTTTTTTTTTTTCGGAAACCACAGTAGTTTTTGGCAAAAACTCGAAAATGTTCCGAGGTATAGTTGCTATTTATGAAATCCTCGAAAAAAATACGAGCATCATGGTCTTCCGACAAAATGGGGGGGGGGCGGAGCAAATTTTTTCAAAATGCACGAAACTTTGTTTCACCCTGTATCATGGGTCCTGATCAATTTAGAAGAAGCTGTAAGGAATGGTTCGAAAGACGATAAAAAAGGCATTCAGAATCTTGGCGGCAAATCAAAATTCGTTCAATATTTTAGAAATTACGAGAAGTCAAACTTGATACCAAATTTCACTATTAACGTTTCAATTGACGCCCAGTTTATATACCTATACCTTTAGTACCTTTATCTACTTATCTATCTACCTGATGTCAGTGATGTCTGTTCCGAACAAACTTAAATCGGTGACAATTTCTGACTAAAAATAACTTTTACCCACTCCGAGCAGTCCTCTAACCTGATAACATTCATCCGTATTTATTTATCTCTCACGTGGTTTTCATTGAATAATCAAAACTAATATAGTACACCATAGAAAATCGAAAAAGAAACAATTATGCGATAGATATACGAACAATTGATAATCTTTGGAAGCCTACCTTGTGAACGTTGATAATCATGGCCGGTTGAGATTTCACGAGAACTGCGAATAGAACCTTGCGAACCACCAGACGAAGCACAATGCCGCGTTGACAACACTGTTCGCAACACCAACTACGAACCGAACCATGAGGCATACATGTGTTTGTGTAAATGTAAAGTGGGGACTATGACCATTTCAGGGCCGCATTATCCATTAGGCCGACAAATAAATGCGAAAAACTGAATACGTAAATCAAGAAACATTTTTGGAAACGATGGTTTTTAAATAATGCACTTAACAAAATAGACTGCTATTTTTGTTATCAATGATCATGTTTTTTTCAATGACCATGATCTGATCATGATAATTTCCACTTATAATTACACAAGTGCTTTTTTTTGTCGAAGTAAACTTGAATTTTTTCTGTGACGGTAAAAGTTTGGCATTTCATCTCTGTTGGCAGGTTATAAAATGTCACTTTTCATAAATTGCTTTTTTCCCGTGGGAAAAAAGTTAGTGCTTTTTTCCCGGATGTATATATCAAATATACAGGGTGTCTGTAAAATAAGGTCTTTACAAAAACATACCACATATTCCCTAGACCAAAATAAGTCGATTCAAGTAAAATTACCTTAGTACAAAGTTGCATCGTTTGGGCTCCAGAGGGCCTTGAAGTTACAATTTTTAAATCGTTTTTCCCATATAAATTTGAAACGGCATATGCCATTTTGCCGAAATTTGTTATATTGATAGAGTTTTATGTAACAAAAATAATTATGCTGAGATTTTGTCCGATAATAATACATAGGCGTAGAACTTGATTTTTTAAATAATTGCACCTTCAAAAATTCTACGCCAATGGAAAAATAGGAGTTTGAGTATGAAATGTAGATTGCGCAACTCATTTACTTTAAAAAAGGTACACTTGATAAGACTCGATTGCTCTCATGGTTTCGACGAAATTTGCATTTTAGTAATTTTAGAACATTTATTTATTTATTTATTTATTTAACAATTTGGCGACCCAACAAACAATTTAATGCCAATAACAGGGTCGCTCGAAGGAAAATAATGGCACATACAATAAATCAGTCGTACTATAAAAGTAATAGCATGAGAGCAAAATACAACTAAAACAAAAAGAAAAAAGAAACTGATTTGCTAAAAAAGAAAATGCCTTAATAGTAGTATATTTTCATGTTATGCTATAGATAAGTATTTTAATTTTAAACAATTTACATTCTATAGTTTGGAAATATTTAATTCAATATATCTAAAATCCATTAAGTTTTATAATACCAGATCAGCTTATGTAATAAACTGGTATTTAATATTTTCCATGGAAATGAAGCAAATTATCGAAACAATTCAAGAGACCAAAATGTTGTATTTTTATTTGGTGAATAGGTTATGAAGATAAAGAATTCAAAAAAATCAGTGGCGCACATTTTATTGACGATAATATTCGGTAGGTTGCCCCGCGGGACGCCACTGGATTTCTTAATTCCAATCAAAGTATGGCTAAATCAGCCCCTCATGAAAATAAATATGATTGCCAAATTTCAAGAAAATCGGTGAAAGGACATTTGAGATATTCATAAAAAAACACACACTGTATGTTGAAAACTATGCATTTCCGGTTGTTTCCAGAAATTTTCGGAAAAGATACATAATATAGTTCAGAACAATGTCTCAAGATTTGTGAGATATTCGCAATTCAGGACTTTTTGAAAAAAATTTGCAAGAACAGTTTTTTTTCAAAGATATTTATTTATTTTTTATAGAAAACTAACAGGCTTACACCTACTTACAAGTTTTCTAACCTAAACTAATCTAACCTAACTTCCACTTAGATCTAACAGCAATTATCAATTATAGAGCAAAAATTGAGCTGATGGGTTAAGTTGTATGATGAAACTTAGAGCCTTAGAGAATACAGGTATTAATTTTAATTAGAATAAATTCAACAAATCCTTCCGAAACTTGGCTAATTTGGTATAAAAAAAACTATTTATTCTGTCCACATACTAATTAGAAATTTGGAGAATACTGTTCATTAAAGAGTCACTAGTTATCGAAACATGAAAGAGTATGGGTCTGGGACGAAGTGTTCTTAAGGGTACTAGAATATTTTCATTAATAGAATATCTCCACCACAAAATAAAATGAATTTGTTGTTGAAAGGCGGAACTCAGTATGCCCGATATTGTAATGTCTGACACCACCATCCCCACCAAGCCCACCATATCTATGCTCGGTATCTGCATCAGCAGCACTCTTTCATGGAATAATCATGTCAGATCCATCGCAAAAGCTGCTTCACAAGAACTCTGATTCTTGTTCCGTGCGGAAAGCTACTTTACACCTCAACAGCTTCTCATGATCTACAAAGCGCAGATACGGCCTGTTCTAGAATACTGTTTCCACATATGGGGTTCAGCACCAGAACATACGCTGATGCTCTTAGATTCCATCCAGAGAAGAGCCATTCGCCTGGTGGGTGACGCCACACTCACTCACTCTTTAACATCATTGGAACACTGTAGAAAGGTCGGCGACCTTTCACTTTTCTATCGATACTTCCACGGGAAATGTTCTTCAGAAATCTCTGCTATCATCCCTTCACTAGCAAGACCAGTCAGACGAACTAGACAAGCTCAGTCCGCACATCCTTTCGTTTGTCAACCCCGAAAGATGCCGAACAGCACTTTATCAAAACTCCTTCATCCATAGAACGGCTAGGCTCTGGAATTCATTGCCTGAGGAAGTATTCCCAACAACATATAATCTCCAGAAGGTCAAGAAAAATTCCAATACCTACCTCCTATCCCTATCCTCCCTAAGAACGCACGATGTTCTTTGAACATTATAGGGATTTCCTTTTGGTGCGCTCCAAGCGATAAAAAAGAATATGGGAACCCGAAATTATTCAAGCCTGGGGCCTGATTCTACCGCTTAATGTGGCCCTGGTCTTTCTCAGAGATATACATTGGCAGTGGAAAGGTTTTTTTGCTGATTGAAGTAGAATAGTCGAATTGGAACAGAGATTATTGTTAATTAGCTCGATCTGACCTTTGAACTCTGTTTATGAAATAACAATGATTTTGTTATACAGGGTGTATCTGCACAGGCAAAGGTGATTCATAGGTACAATACAACTATTCTTACAAATTGGGGATATTCCCGTCCAACTGGAAAATTGCAAGAGTACAACCAGTTCCTAAAAAAGGCAAAAAGACCCTACCTAGCAACTACAGACCAATCGCACTGCTATCTATTATTTCAAAGATCATGGAGAAAGCTATCAACATCGAGCTCATGAAATACCTGAAACATTCTGGTATTTTCAACGATAGGCACTATAGCTTCCGTCATCAGAGATCAACTGGTGACCTGCTCACTTTATTACGTCTCACATATATGGCAGCACTCTATTGAAAAATATGGTGAAACCTGCTTAGCCGTGGCACTTGATATCTCCAAGGCATTCGATCGAGTCTGGCACCACGGACTCCTCGCCAAGCTTCCATCTTATTGCTTGCCTCCCCAGTCCCCAGCTATGTTCTCTGCTAGCTAGTTTTCTCTCAAAGAGGTCTCTCCATGTAATGGTCGACGGAGTTTCATCTGACTCTCTTATCATAAATGCTGGTGTTCCGCAAGGATCAATTCTAGAACCAACCCTATTTCTACTCCATATCAACGATTTGTTGGAAGCAACTTCATGTTCAGTACACATCTTCGCGGATGATAGTACCCTCCATACCGCCTTCCAGGGCTCCAATTACAGCCAGGCAAATCAGAAACGAACGAGGGAAAAATGTTGACAACATAACTATGGACTTGGCAACAATTCTCGAATGGGGATCCAATTACTTGGTAGATTTCAATGCAAACAAAACACAAGCATGCCTTTTCTCTAGAAAAGCCGATCCCACTGTGCCCAACATATAAGCTTTTCAGGAGTAACCATACCTTTGAAGACATCCATTTCGATGCTTGGGATTACTATCAGCAAGAACCTTTCTTGGGAAAATCACGTGAGATCAATTGCTAAAAGTGCATCCCAAAAGCTTGGTTTTCTATTTCGGGCCAGGAGCTATTGCACTTCCAGTCAGCTGCTTATGATCTATAAGGCACAGAACCGACCTGTCCAGGAATACTGTTCCCATATTTGGAGTGCAGTACCCAAACATACCCTGAAACTGTTGGATTCTGTCCAAAAAAGGACAATTCGTCTCGTAGGTGATGCCTCGCTAACAAACTCACTCACTTATCTGGAACACCGTAGAAAAGTTGGCGATCTGGCTCTATTTTATAGATATTTTCATGGACGATGTTCTTCTGAAATATCAACAATCGTTCCTCTCTTGGCAGTCCCCGCGAGATTAACCCGTCGAGTTGAGGCTTCGCACCTCTTCGTGGTCACTTTGGAGACTTGCAGAACATCTCTTTCCAAAGACTCGTTCATCCAACGAACAGCGAGGCTCTGGAACACATTGCCAAGGGAGGTGTTCCCCGAGGCATATAACCTCCAGAAATTTAAGAAAAACGCCAATTCCTACCTCATTTCCCTTGGTTCTCACGATGTTCTCTGAACATTACAGGATATCCCTTTTCGTGGGAACCAGAACATACAAAACAAAGTTATTTATTATACAAGGGAAAAAAGTTGTAGCTAGGATCTACAGGTTGTCGAGGTTGTGTTACGCGTCGGGAGACAAAAGACCATGAGCTAAAATTTAATATTTTTTCCGTGTATAATTAGTTATTCATTATACAAGGGAATAAAGTTATCTCGAGGATGTGTTGTCAGCGGATCAGAAATTATCGACATTAAAAGTTTTTAACAGGAATTACACCTACGTTGCAGGCATCTTTATCATCCTTTTGAAGTATTCAAATCCCAGATATAACGAAGAAGTCCTGTGTACATCCAGAGGACCTACATCTGGAACGTACAAGACGTCCTTAAGACTTCTAGCACCTTCTAGTGTCGTCCATATCAGGCCCAAGTTTGGTATATCATCGCCATGAATACCATAATCAACGTAAATTCGCCTTTTCTTACTCGGATAGATGAAAAATAAATCTATACAGAGGAGAGAAAAATCTTAAAA